CCAGTCTTTGGCAATTATAAGTGAAGCTGCTATAAACAAAGGTTTTGTTTTCAGTTCATTTGGTGGAATACCTCGGAGTACAATTGCTGGGTCATAAGGTAAGCATCAGTTTAACTTTATAAGAAATTCCAAACTGTTTTCCAAAGGGGTTTTATTGTTCTTGCACTCTCACCAGCAGTAAATATGAGTTTCTGTTGCTCTGCAGCCCCATCAGTACTTGGTACTGTCAGCTTTTTAAATTAGGCTATTCTATTTTTTGTAAAAGATTTTATTTATTTGAGAGACAAAGGGGGAGCAAGCGAGCACAAGCAGGCAGGGAAGGAGAGGGAGAAACAGACTCGCTGAGCAGGGATCCCGATGTGGGGCTTGATCCCAGGGCCCTGGGATCATGACCTGAGCTGAAAGCAGATGCTAAACTGACCAAGCCATCCAGGCACCCCGAATTAAGCTATTCTAATAGGTGGAGAGTGATAGATCATCCTGGTTTTAATTTACATTACTAATGTGGAGCATCTTTTCCTAATGTATTAGTTACTATTCAATACTATGAATAGATATGTGACAAGCCCGGTGATGGGTATTAAGGAGGGCACGTATTGCATGGAGCACTGGGTGTTATACACAAACAATGAATCATGGAACACTACATCAAAAACTAATGATGTACTGTATGGTCACTAACATAATAAAAAATGTGACAATACCTATTCATATAATTTGTCCTTTTTTTTTTTTTAAAGATTTTGAGAGACAGTGAGCGAGCATGAGAGGGGGCAGGGAGGAGGGAGAAGCAGACTCCCCACTGAGCAGGGATCCCGACGTGGAGCTCAATCCCAGGACCCCAATATGATCTGAGCTGAAGGCAGATGCTTAACTGACTGAGCCACTCAGGTGCCCCAATTTGTCCAATTTTTTTAAAGCTTGGGTGATTTATTTTTTTTAGAGATTTTAGAATTCTTTATTCTGGATACAAGTTCTTTATGATACATAATTTGTAAATATTTTCTCCCAGTCTATAATTATCTTTTCATTTTCTTACTTTCACAGAGAAAACATTTTCAGTTTTTATAAAGTTCAGCTTTTATAAAACCTTTTTCCTTTGATGGATTGCACTTTTGATGTCATGATCTAAAAATTAATATTTTCAAACCTAAAATGCAGAACTCCTCTGTATTTTCTTCCAGAATTGTTACAGTTTTATATTTTACATTTAGTTCTATGATCCATTTTGAGTTTTTTAATAAGGTGTCAGGTGTGTCAAGGTTCATTTTGTTGCGTATGGATGTGCACTTCCCAGCACCATTTGTTGAAAAGATGATTCTCTCTCCACTAAGTTGCCTTTGCACCTTTGTTCAAATTCAGCTGACTCTATTCATGTGGGTATATTTCTGGACTCTTTCTGTTCCACTGACCTAGGTATCAGTCCTTTTACTAATACCCATAGTTCTGATTACTGTTCCTTTAGACTAAGCCTTGAAATCACATAATATAAATCATCTAAGGCTGTTCTTTTCAAAAAAAAATTGTTTTGGCTATTTTAGGTCCTTTGCCTTTCCATGCAAATTTTAGAATCAGCTTGTCAATAGTGTCTACACACAGAAGCTTGTTAGGACTTTGATTTGGGTTGTGTTGAACAAAATGGGAGAATTTAACAGTATATTAAGAATACTGAGGGGTATCTGGGTGGCTCAGTTGGTTAAGTGTCTTACTTTTGCTCAGGTCCTGATCTTGGGGTCCAGGGATTGAGCCCTGCGTCAGGCTTCCCATTCAGCGAGGAGTCTGCTTGTCCCTCTCCCTCTCCCCTCTGCTTGTGCTCTCTCCGTCTCTCTCATATAAAAAAATCTTTTAAAAAAAAATTCCCTAATCCTTGACTACAGTATATCTCATTAGATCTTCTCTAAGTATTTTATGCTTTAGTTCTCAGATATAGGTCCTATGCATAGATTTATACCAAGTATTCCTTTTATTTTTTTTAGTGCTACTATAAATTTAGTACATTTTTTTAAAGTTCCAGTTAGTCCTTGCTGATACACAAGAGTAGAATTTTCTTTTGTATACTGACCTTGCTTCTTGCCACCTAAGATTCAGTTGGTTCTAGGAGCTTGTCAGTTCTTTGGGGTTTTCTACAGAGAGATCATCTTTGCCACAAGCGTGTGGCGACTCTGTGCTGAGCAAGTCTTTGGGCACAGTATTTTCCACAGCACTGTCCCGCTCTGTGTCTCAGTATTACAGTTGTGGTGGTCTGGGACACTACTGCGGTCACGGTCTTGGGGCACCATGGCCCATGCCCTCATCGGACGGGGAACTTGATAAATGTTGTACTCTGTTTATACAGTCAGTTTTGCTTCTTCCTTCCCAATGCGTATGCTTGTTCTTTTTTCAGTGAAGCAGTCAGGAATCCAGCACAGTGTTGAACAGAAGTGAGAAAGGACATCCTTACCCTATTACTGATTTTAGGAAAAAAGCATTTATTGTCATACCATTAAGCGTGATATTAGTTGTAGGTTTTTTTATACATGGCCTCTGTTTTACCTGTATATTTTAAGTTCAACCTTTTTCTTCCATTCCTTATTTTTTTGTGCCTATATTAAAATGCCGACTCCCAGGACAGACAATGACAACCTGCTTTCTTCATTATCTAACAATAGAGGCATACTTTGTTTTACTGCACTTCACAGGGACTGCATTTTTTACAAATTGAAGGTTTGTGGCAGCTTGAGCAAGTCTATTGGCACCATTATTTCCAACACCATTGGCTCACCTTGTGTCTGTGTCACAGTTTAGTTCTCAACAGTATTTTAAACTTCTGCATTATGTTACGGTGCTCTGTGATGTTACTACTGTTAATTGTTCTGAGGTACCATGAACTGTGCCTGTATAAGATGGCACATATAAATGCTGTGTGTCTTCCGACTACACCACGAACCAGTGCCGTTCCTGACCTCCCTGTTCCCTGAGACAAAACAATGCTGAAATTAGGCCAACTAATAACCCTACAATGGCCTCCAAGTGAAAGGAAGATTCCTGTGTCTCACTTTAAATCAGAAATGATTGGGTTTAGTGAAGCAGGCATGTCAAAAGCCAAGACAGGCCAAAAGCTAGGTCTCTTTTGCCACCCAGCCAAATTGTGAATGCAAAGAAAAATTCTCGAAGGAAATTAAAAATGCTACTCCCCTGGGGCACCTGGGTGGCTCAGTCAGTTAAGCATCTGCCTCCGGCTCAGGTCATGTCCCAGAGTCCTGCAATCAAGCCCTGTGTCGGGCTCCCTGCTCAGCAGGAAGCCTGCTTCTCCCTCTCCCTCCCCCAACTCGTGTGTTTGCTCTCTCTCTAATAAATAAAACCTTTTTTAAAAACTGCTGCTCCACTGAACACATGAAGAACAACGTGAAATAGCCTTATCACTGACAACGGGGAAAATTTCAGTGGGCTGGATAGAAGATCAAACCAGCTACAACAGTCCCTGAAGCCAAAGCCTAATCCAGAGCAAGGCCCTACTTCTTCAATTTTATGAAGGCTGAGAGAGGTAAGGAAGCTACCGAGGAAAAGTCTGAAGCTAACAGAGGTTAGTTCATGAGGCTTAAGGAAAGAAGCCATGTCCTTACCATTAAAGTGGCAGGTAAAGCAGCATGTTATCCAGGTCTACTAAGCTAATCAGTGGTGGCCACACTAAACAACAGATTCTCAATGCGGCGCAAACAGCCTTGTTTGGAACAAAATGCCATCTAAGACTTTTACAGCTAGAGAGCAGAAGTCAGTGTTTGGCTCCAAAGGACAGGCTGCCTGTCCTGTGAGGGGCTAATGCAGCTGGTGACTTTAAATAAGTTTGTGCTGTAGAAATGGAACAACAAAGCCTGGAGGACAGCACATCTGCTTACAACATGGTTTACTGAATATTTTAAACCCACTACTGAGACCTACTGCTTAAAAAAAAAGATTCCTTTCAAAATAGTCCTGCTTGTGGGCGATGGACCTCCAGATTGTGGTTTTCATTCCTGCCAACACAACATCCATTCTGCAGCCCATGGATCAAGGAGTCATTTCGACTTTCAAGCCTTAAGAAAAACATTTTGTAAAACCAGAGTTGTCAGAGATGGTGCCGCCTCCGATGTGTCCAGGCAAAGTAAGCCTGGAAAGCATTCTGCATTCTAGATGCTATGAAGAACATGCAGGAGTCATGGGAAGAGGTGAAAATAATCACCATTAACAGGAGTTTGGAAGAAGTGGATTCCAGACCCCATGGATGAGTCTGAGGAGTTGCAGACCTCAGCGGAGGAACTCACTGCGGCGGAAACAGCAAGAGAACTGGAATTAGAAGTGGCGCCTGAAGACGGGATTGAGTTGCTACCATCTTGTGATCAAACTTGAAGGGATGAGAAGTTGTTCCTTACGGATGAGCAAAGAAAGTGGTTTCTTGAGATGGAATCTACTCCTGGTGAGGATGCTGTGAAGACTGTCAAAATGGCAGCAAAGGATTTAGAGTATGACATGAGCTTAGTTGATAAAGCAGCAGCAGGGTTTGAGAAGACTGACTCCAATTCTGAAACAAGTTCTGTGGATAAAATGCTGTCAAAAAGGAAGAATCAATCTGTGGCAAACTTCATTACTTTTAAGAAAAGGCCACAGCCATCCACGTCAAGACAGGATCCTCCACCAGCAAAAGTCCAGCTCGCTGAAGGCTCAGATGATAGTTAGCATTTTTTTAAGGTATGTACATTGTTTTTTAGACCTGATGCTACTGCACACTTAAGACTTCAGTACAGTACCCATAACTCATATATACACGGAGAAATAAACTCATCTGACTCGCTTAACTGTGGTATTTGCTTTAGTGCAGTGATCTGGAACTGAACCTGCAAATCTCCAAGGTACGCCTGTATTTGCATCTGTAAGATTCACCTACTACTCCAATCAAAACAACAAAACGGGTTTTTATAATAGGTTTTAATTTTCCTTAAAATATAGCTTCCTTACTAAATTAAAACTAAGCATCTTTCATACCATTTTGATTCTTCATAGTTTGAATGATGGAATCTCTGTTACTTGATCATTTTAAAGAGTTGTTTATGTGGACCGAGTCACGCTATTTACCATGATTCAAACCTTCTGAGAAGTTCAGGAGCAGCCTAGGACTTTGCAGTTGTTTTTGAAGGCTGGAATTGTCCTGCTTCAAATTTTTCTTTGAACTTTAAGTAGTCTCTTCTTTTATCAAAATATTTTATCTGTTGAGAAAAAAAGTGTTTGAAATAAGGGGAAGTTTTACAGCTTAAACAAAAGCACAGATTTAAATGTAACAAATTATTCAACATAAGTTGAGTAAGTCACCTAAGTGATTTGTATTCTAGAATCATTCTGAATCAAGTCATACGATGTATAAGAGTCTCCAAAGATGGTGTAGACCAGTGAGCCCTAACCCCTTCTGGGTTCAAGAGCCTATGCCACAAACCTTCTCCTCGAGAAATGTCCCTGTGCTTGGACATGTGAACATTGCCGTGTGGGCTCAGAGTTTGTAGGCCATAAAACTTCATAATTTAAAGACACTGTACAAGTTTTTCTTATTGAACTTACAGTTTCTAAGTTTTGTAGTTCATCAGCTATGATCAAGTTTATCTCATCCAGAAACACACATTTGTGATAGATGGTTAAAAATTATATTTATAAACTATGAATGAGTGGCTAAAACTTTAGTAAATTAAAGACTTCATCTTATTTATATCCTTCTCTTGCCATAGGGAATTTGAAGTATCTTAAAGCCCCATATTCTGAAACCGTAAAATTACAGTAGAAAATCAAGGTCACAAACCTGTCAAGTGTCTAGATAGGTGCTGCTTTGCAGACAAGGCAAAGGCAGAACACCCACATTTGCACTGTCAGGAGAAAAAAACACTAGGTGTTTTGTTAAAAGCTTTTCTTAGGATTTAATTCTTATTCAGTGGAGCCTAAGTGAAAATTAGACTGAGCACATACATACTCATGCTGGCATGAGAGAGACAGATAAGCCGCTGCAGAGTTAACATTTCTCCCGGGGACACAACAGCCATGGAATGTCCTAACAGTCCCCTCTGAGTATGGCTTTCATACTGACCAAGAACCCTTGTCCTCTAAAACCACAGACTATCAGAAATTTGCTCTTTGATGTTATAGCAATAAAAATGCAACTTCCTACCTTTGCCTGGAGGATCCCAGGCAACCTAACACAAAGCAGCAGCCTTGATTTCCAGCCCAGGAGCAGGATCTCAAATATCTCTAAGAAAATAGGACCCTGGGTCCCTTCTCAGTCCAGAGCTGACAATGACCTGTTTATCGCAGCCCTGCTTTGAGCTTACCAAAGCACGGCTTCATTTCACTTTTACCTACTTCCACCCCGCCCCTAAATCCTTGGAGGACTCCTTTCCTGTGCCCAGTGAGATGCCCACAGCTCCTCTGGTGTGTGGTCTCCATGGTTACCAGACTACAGATTTACCCCGGTGGCTGGGATGGGTGTTCTGCATACAAGGTGCCACAGGAAGAAGTGGACGGTGTCCGGATCTTTGTGACAGATCCTGTCACATCTCCCAACTGTCTTGACCGACAATTCCATGTAGATGTCCTACCAGCACATTGGTCCCAGCTCGGCCTGAACCAAGCTCCTCTTCAAACGCGTTTCTCCTCTAATACTTCTTTCAGTGAACACACCACTGTCCACCTAAACCCTTCGATCCCACTCCTCTTCATCACTACACTACAGGCCCTCATTTCTCTCCCCTCCTTAATCCATCGGTCACGCCACTGCCAAGTGTGATCTTTTCAAAACCCAAATTTGATCGTGTCCCTTGCTGGAAGGTCTTTCTGGGCATCCCTACAGACTTAAGGTCAACATCCAAACTCCTCAGCAAGACAAACAAGGCCATTCATGGCTTAATTTCTGCCCACCTGTCCGTCCATTCTGAATCTGCCACCAGCCCGGAAGTGCTGGCCATCCAGAGCTGCTCTGGGTCCCGGATGGGCTTCCCTGAGTCTGCGGGGACCACACTCTACCTTACTGCTCTCCACCCCAGCCCTCTCTCCTCAGTTAGCAGGTGGGGATACTCAGCACGGGGCCCGCACTCTCCCTCTCCGGGCTCATGAGCCAACAAGCACGTACAGAAGAGGACTGTGTCCGTGGGATGCTAGCATCCTCCAGGCCCTTACAGGAGATGCAAGACAGTACTGCGAACGCCGAAACGCTGGGGTTTCTGAAATTGATACTGGGATCAAGTCTCTTGGATGATACTGGAATGATTGATGGATCTCAACCCTGCTCCCTCCTCAGCGATGAACCAACAGGAGCCTTTCAGTCGGCCTGTCACACAGATTAGGCTGATGAGTGCCATAAAAGCAGCAAAGCGTCAGAGAAGAGTAATTCGTTCTGGTGACACCCAGCATTTTAGTTTGTATGTAACAAAGCTGTACTTACTGCTTAGCTGACCTTGAACAAGTCACTTCACCTGAGCCTTAGTTCCTACTGTGTAAAACAGACACAAAAGTACTCAGAAGACGGAATGAAAATTAAAGCTAATAATAAATGCCTCACACAGAACAGACCCAAGTGATACTTCCTTTTCTGACCCCCTTCCCCCATGGGCCTCCCCACCTCCTCACACAGCTCTGGAAAAATCTTTCCGTTTCTAGTCTCTGGCTACAGGGTAAGATGTCAGCAGGCAATCCCCGAGCATAGCACCCAGGTGGGGAGGGAGCAGGCTGAGCGCGAACAGCACTGCCGTAGAACACTGTCAGATGCTGAAGGTACTTGGAAGAGTCTGCTACGCCACCCCCCTCCCTCCTTCGGTGGGGTCGGCTAGCGCTTTGCAGCCTGTGCCTCCTTCTCCACCAGTACTCCTGTCCTAAAGCTCGGGTGGCTGTCCACGTGGTCAGGCCTTCCATGGCCCTGGCCTCTTCAGCGATCTCGTCCTCCAACCTGTCTTGCTCCCAGGATCAAAGCGTAGGCCTTGGCCTTACCAATAAATAGGGCTTTTCCATAATCCCAATTCTGAGCGGCCACCTCTTCCCTTGCCCTGTAGGACCCTGAGCCCACCATGTATTCACAGACTCCCTCTCGTATCCTCGCAGCTCTCCTTCCTGCGGAACCCTGAACTCTCCAGCAGCCGCCCGTAGCACTCAGGAAACGCCACCGCGCCCGGCCTCCCATCCCTCTCTGACCCGAACGTCCACCCCTCTCTCCTTGCTGTTCCTGAAACACACTGGGCCTGCCCCCACTGCAGGGCTGTTGTGTTGTCCCACTTCCCTCCTGCGGATGCTCATCAAGTAAGCCCCACAAGGAAGGCTGAGGCCCTGGGCTCTGGGGCTGTGTTCGTGCTGGTGTCTTTCATTGAGTAATGGGAGGAGAGGGCTGCTGGGTACGGGATGGGGAAGAGTTCAGACTTGGATATGCAGAGGTCAGGGTTGGTCCTGTGAACATCTAAACCTGTTGAGACAGCTCAACAGGTGCCTCCAGAGTTGGAGAAAGGGCCAGGCTGGAGCTGCGGACGAGGCATCAACACCTGAGAGCAGAATGCCTTGGGAGCGCGAAGAGCACAGAAGACCACTGGCATGAACAGCCTCACAGCAAAGCTCTCTAACAGGCGTGGCTGCTAGCCGAGCAGGAGGAAAGCTAGGGCAAGGACTCAGAGGCACCCAAGGAGATTGGGCTTTTGTATTTAAATAGACTACAGCTATGACTAAGTTTCTAGGACACCATGAGGCTTGTGCAGGCTATTTTCATGGATCCTGTTCTTGCATGACAGGCACAGGAAGGAGGATGTGGAGAAAGGAAAAGTATGGGGTCCAGACTCACACTCCTGAGCTCAAATCCAGGTTCTGCACTTACAGTGACTTCGTTTCAATGCGCCCATGTCCTTGTCTGCAAAACTAGGTGACCGAGAAAAGCGGAGGTGGAGAGCACATCTGAAGTGCTCGGAGCACATACTCAAGTAAATGAGCTGCGAGCAGGACACAGTAACCTAGAGAGCAGGCTGGCCCTCAGCCAGGGTCCCAGTGGGAGGGACAGAGAATAAAGCAGCAGCCCCTTATGACACAGAGAACAAAAGCTGCCCCGAAAGAAGGGGAGTGGGAGGGTCTGCTAATCACCAGGCTGGAGAGAAAGCAGTGGGTTTCCGAGGAGAGGGGTGGGGGGGATAAAAACAGGACGGAAGCGTGACTTTGCAAAGGGGCTAAGACAGGCACTCCTAACCACGGTTATCGGGATCACTTGTAGAGCCAAGCTCGGGTTCTGTTTCCAGACATTCAGTAAATCTGAGATGAGGTCTGGGACACAGCTCTTTAAAAAATCTCCACATGATTATGACATGTCACCTGAGTGGAAAATCATGGCAAGGCTGTCAAAAGGTCTCCCAGGGACAAAATTCTCCTGAGAAAATGTGGGGGGCAGGGTGAGAACAGAACCCACCAACACCCTGGCCCCCAGAGTTCCTGCCCGGTTCTCAGCTCCACCCTGCTCTCGGTGACCACAGGGCCAGAGAGCCCAGTGAGAAGGGGACAGCACAGGCAGGAAAGGTATCAGGACCCTAAAGGACTCAGGTCTGAGTTAGCCCAAGCTCCCACATTCTCCACCTACTTCTTAAACCAAGAGTTATTCTTGGTGCATCAATCCTAATGGGAAAACCAGGGATGTATAGTATTTTTTGCCTAAATCATTACACAATCCAATCACAAAACCCCACATTGATCATGTTTCTATTTATATGTCAAGTTAGACACTGAGTCTTCACAGGAATCCCATGAGATAGGTTGCATTATGCTGGTTTTACAGATGAAGAGTTCATCTAAAGCACGTTCTCCTGACTGCATTCACTCCCAGCCCAGCCCTCCTCCTATGACCCCACCCTTCTAGTGGTCTCCTGCACCCCTCCCGCTCCTCATCTAAAAAAAAAAAAAAAAGTGAGGTGTGGGCACCTGAGTGGCTCAGTTGGTTAAGCAACTGCCTTCGGCTCAGGTCATGATCCTGGAGTCCCGGGATCGAGTCCCGCATCGGACTCCCTGCTCAGCGGGGAGTCTGCTTCTCCCTCTGATCCTCCCCCTCTCATGCTCTCTGTCTCCCATTCTCTCTCTCACATAAATAAATAAAAAATCTTTAAAATAAAATAAAATAAAATAAAATAAAATAAAAATGTGAGGTGTGACAGGGAAGACCCTAAACCACGCCCTAAGATGAGCTGTTCTCCCAGCTGTCTGGTATACCTGCAGCAGCATGATGGAGTGGGAAAGCACAAATTCAGGTTTAAAGCTTCCATTAGCCAGCTGGGCCTGACTTAGAATTACAGTTCTGCCACTCACTGACCAATACTGAGCCAAGTTATTTCAATGCCCTGACCTTCAGATGCCTCCTCCAGAAACCGCGAGCAAACCACCCACCTGAAAGGATACTGATATAGGAGGGTCAAGCACTTAAGACAGGACAATTTACTGAGCTCAATGTTCCTTCCCTTTTCCAGCCCACTCCCAGACTAGGGCCAGGCGGCGCACAGCAGGAAAACTGTCAGGGAGGCATTTGGGGCAGCTGGTGACAACCCATCACCCGAACATCCTCCTACTTCCTAAACTATTCTCATATTTTGGGTAAATGACCATATGATTTTGGGTGGGCAACAGGGAATGCTTTAATCCTGACAGTAGCTCTAAGCCAGTGAATTTGCCAACTCTCGCCCAAGATTAAATACTGTTCTTAAGATCCTGGAGAAACCTACCAATTTGGCGGGTTGGAATTGTTGGTTATTATTTACAGGTTTGTTTCCAGTGATCTTTAAAGTGTCAGGTGACATTTCCCAAATGTCTGCCTGATAGAAGAACATAAAACAAAGTCCAGATTTCCAGGCAGGGGTTTCTCTGCTGCTCACACAAACTAGATCTGAGGTGCCTCCCACGACGGTGCTTCATCTCCCAGCCTACCACGCACACTGTAAGCTCTCTGCATTTTAACAGCGAACAGAAACCCATCCGAGTGTGCCTTACCCACTGCTGGGGACAACTGGATTCAAATGAGCTTCTTAACTTCTTGCACTGAGAAGCGTCCTCTGTGTTCTCATCTAAACACTTCCAGTATTCATCCCGGGCTCCCCAGCAAGCCTGTCTTTCTTTCATAGACGGGGCTGCCATTCCTAGTGGGCTCAAGCTGTCGGCCAAAATAACATTTGATGTTAACGAGGGAACTTGTTTCAGAGAAGGCAAGGCACTAACTGTCGTTCCTTCCCACCCCCTCTTTCTGAAGTTCCACCTCGGGATTTTAACGACGCAGCTGAAATGCATCAGTTCTAAGTTAACGATGCCTTAAGACCACTCGCTTCTGAAGCTCATCTCCTACACTGTGAAACTGGGCCCCAAGCCGGGCGGCGGCTTGGTCTCACGAAGCCGAGTTAGACCTATGGTTCTCTCACAGTCCCGTCACTCGGAGTAGCTCATTTATCCTCTCGAGCTTGTCTCCCCATCTGTAAAACGGGGGTAGCAGGGCCCATTTTACAAGGTTGCCGTTCGAACCAAACTGCTGTACAAATAAATGCACGGGGTCAAAGTGACCCAGCAGGGCCAGGAGTGCTACCCAGTTGTGCAGAAGAGGAACGCGAGGCGCGCGGAGTCGGCGACCGCCCGGGGCCCCATTCCCCCACGCGCGCCCGCCGGGCCCCAGCGGCAAGAGGACCTCTCGCCCGCCCGGCACCAGGTTCCCTTCGGCGCCCGCGGGAGGAAAGGGCCATGGAACCCAACAAACTGGGGGCGGGAGGGGGCAGGGCGGAGGGCCCGGTGCGGAGTCCTGGCGCCCGGAGGCTCGCCTCGCCCGCGGGGGCTCAAGCAGCGTAGAACTCACCACCCCAAGGAAGCACTTCACGCAGCGAATCAGCGCGCCTGCTTGGAGTGACCCTTACGGGATCCCGTACACCGTTCAAGGGGGGCGGGACTTCCGGCTCCGCTCTCTCTCCTATTGCAGTGACTTCCTGCTGGGCGGGCACGGGAGGTGGTGCCTGGGGGCGTGGAGGTGGAGAGTGGGTGGGGCTCTGTCGCTGCTCTGAGCAGCCTCAACCCTACCGGTGGGTGCGTGCCTCGGGGATCCGAGGCTTTTAACAACTGTCAGGGTCTGTGCTCCTTTCGTGAATCTAAATTCCTATGTATATCTCACCCCGCGCCGCCTGGAAGGCTTGACTTTCGAGTCCTGCCGGACAAGGCGGTTTGGGTAGAAATTTGCACCCGAGGGATGAGAGCGAGGCAAAGTGGTTAAAGGTGACAGCTTAATTGCAAGCTTCCTAGATAGAGATATGTAGAGAGGGCGAGGGAGAGGAAGAAAGATGGGGAGAGGGAGAGAGGGGGAGGAGGGAGGGGGAAATGGGGGGTAGAGGGAGGAGTGAGGGAGAGGCACACGACCCAGGAGATTTGGCAAATAAGTGAACCAAGCTGCGAACCCGAGGCCTTCGAGCTCCTAGTCCCCTGGTTGAGATTTCATCCTGGTACATTTCTCAACATCATCACCTTGCCTTGAACCCTTGCTGCTTGCTTCTGTGGATGGAAAATGTCCTTTTAGTTGGTATTTGGAGACATCTAGTGAAAGAGAATGTGAAAGGAAAGTTCCATTCTGCTGAGATGTGATAGTTAAAATGATTAGAGTTTGCAGATAGGATCTGTGGACTTGGATCTGAAATTGTGGAAGGTAATTCAAATTAGGAGAATGGAGAAAATAAATATTTGCATTTTTGTTTTAATCTTACTCGTGGGTTTTTTTACTCCCCAAACACCAAGGTATTTTTAAAAAGGAATGAAAAGAGCTGCTCCAGCTCCTTTTGAAAGGATGCTATTTCTAATACATAAACAAGTTAATATGTCTGAGTAGAATCTTTAAAAGCACGTTTATGGATAAAGATCAGTCGGTCATTTGGTGTCTGGTTCTCTTAACAGATTCCATGTGCATCATCTAGTCCAGTTGAAGTTCTAAAGTGCTTATAAACCTGAGAGCACCCTACAGCTCTGCAGTTAGTGCTGGTGTTTGATCCTTTCCAAATTAAATATATGCAGATTTTCAGAGTGGCTATGTGAAGCTAAACATATGTTCTACAATATGAAAAGTATTTCTATAAGTTAGTGGACTCTATAAGATAGTAGAATGCTTTATCTTTACCAGAGCTGCTCATTTCTTTTACACTATGTCTACCAAGGGCAGTTTATATAAAGATAATATCTTCTAAGTATGACCAATGAGATATAAAAAGGATGAAAAGAAAGAGTCTTGGATGACTTCAGAGTTGAAAAAAGAAAAACATTTAAAATTTTAAGTTTATATGTACTTAATGATAAATATATAAATAAAGTGAAACTGGACTGAATTACAAAGCAAAAAGTATAGTCAGGTTACTTTAATAAGCCTTTCTCAGTGATTTTTAAGACAAAAGAAAAATCAATAAGGATATAGAAAATGTGACTAACATGATTAATAAACTTGACCTAATGAATATACACAGAACATAGAATGTACATTTTTTTGAAAGCAAACATGGCACCGTCCCCAAATCAACTGCATACTTACCTATAAAGCAACTCTCAACAAATTTTAAAGATTGAAATCATTCAGCACATGTTTTTTGACCATTATGCAATTAAGCTAGAAATCAATAAAGAATTATAACAAATCCATATAAACCCTAGTCAGAGAAGGAGTCATAATGATAATGAGAATATATTTTGAGCTGAACAATAAAATACAATAGCAATGACTGTAGGATGCAGCTAAAACAGGACTTAGGGGAAGATTTATAGCCCAAAGTATATTAGAAAAGAGGCTAAAAAGTCTTTAGCTAAAGATCCCTTTTCAAGAAGTCAGAAAAAGAGAACAAAATTAAAGAAAGTAAAATGACAGAAATAATATTAAGAGCAGGAATGAATGAAATGGGAAACAAAAGTAATGTGCCAGAGACCATCTGTATTGGTACAGGAGAGAAAATTATGCATACCTCTCCCCTACTCCATGGCCACTAACATCAAATTAGTGGCTTGAAATTGTCCATGATGATAGTATTCACTCCAAGGAAATCAACAAACAGGCTGGTGTTTTGTTTTGTTATGTTCGGAGCCAATCTACTAGCAGACCACTGCATACAATGGATTAAAAAAATCCAAAAGTTGATTCTTTTTTTTAGAAAACACTAATAAAATTGACAAATATCTGTTAGTATTGAACAATACAAGGAGAGATGTTAACCTATATCAGTAATGAAAACTATAGACATCAAAAAAGTTAGGACATCTTATGAACAATTTAATGCAAATAAAATTTAGGTAAATGCACAAATTTCCAGAAAAACACAACTGGCTGACTCAAGAGTAGAAAATAGGAGTCTTCCTAAGCCATAATTTAAATCAGTAGTAAAGAATCTTCACACGCAAATTCCAGGTCCACGGCTCCACCACTAAGTTCCTTTAAACTTTGAAATAATTCCATCCTTATGTATGAGGCTGCCATAACTTCTGTACTAAATACAAAATCCCCATACTTCTGAAACACCAAACTCTTTGGAACTCATTAGGTGAAAAATGTGATTTAGTGACATGAAGCTCTTTCTAGTCATTATTTATATATTACTTAGGTGACTACATGTGTTTTGCTGCAGAAATAGTAATGTTTGAATATTGCTTTTTGAGTAGAGGTGCTCTTCCAGTTCTTGTTGAAAGTGTTACATAAATATGCTGTATGTGTTCCCTGGCACTTTTCCAACGTCCAAAAAAGTCTGTATTCCAAAACATATCTGGCTCCAAGAATTTCAGATAAAATGCGTGGACCTACAGAAGAATGTTTCATGACTTTGGGGTCAAGAAGAATTTTTTTTTTTAGCCATAAAGAAAAAGATCAATGAATTCAACTACGTTAAAATTAAGGACAAACAATACCATAAAGTGAGTGGAAAAGACAAAACCACAATGTGGGAGAAGTTTGTAAAACAAATAATTGGTACCCAGGATATATAAAGAACACTTAACGAATCAATAAGAAAGAGAAAATGTAGTTTTTAAAATAGGCAAAGGCTTAAATAGGCACAGCACCAAGGAGGAAATACAAATGAGCAATGTAAGAAAATACCTACATCCACGTTAGTAACCACAGACATGAACATTCAGATCACAGTGCACACTGTTGGACACCAACCAGACCCAAGAATAATTAAAAAGTCCGACAGTAATGAAAAGATACAGAAGGACAGAGAGAATTCAAGCAGACTCCCTGCTGAACATGGAGCCTGACATGGGGTGGATCCCATGACCCTAAGATCATGACCTAAGTGAAAACCAAGAGTCTGATGCTCAACCATCTGAGCCACCCAGGCGCCTCTATTTGTCACAATTGTTAAACAAATAGAGTAGTTGTTTAGTCTGGAAAAGGTCATCTTTAGTACACAGAAAGGTAAAAATGATCATACAGACCATTTATAAGGCGATTACTAAATTTTTAACAGATTTAACATTTTATGTACTCTTCTAAGTCAAAACTCAATAGTTGTCCATGCGGTCACCCATACAATTAAGCACTTCCTAGTGGTCAGCGGTATACCTAAGGCGCAGACAGTGAAGAATTACTGAAGAGGTTTGAAACAGAGCGATCATGGTCCCCACCCTGACCTCCAGGGAGGTCCGGGGTGCACCAACTGAGAAACACGGATGTATCCAACAGCACAAAAACAACCAAGGAAAGGGAAATTTTGAGATGTCGATAAGGCAAACAAACCCAAAATAATGCAGGATAAGAACCGCAAAGGCCAGATTCCCCCTCTAAAATCTGGAAGGCTGTGGGCAAGTAAAAGAAAGTGGTGCCACGAAAGGATTTCAAATGCGGCGTCTTGACACAAAGGGAGTGTAGTCTCCCAGCCTGTCTGGAGGAGAGGGGAGGCGGGGAGAAGTCAGTGTGAACATTTGGGAAGAGTGCTGTGCTGGCCCCGCCGCCCAGAGGAAACTTCCTGTGGGTGGATCTCTAGTCTGAACAGAGCAGATCCCCAAACCACTGCGGGGCAGGCTGGACAGACCCAGGAGCACCGCACGTAGGTGTTTTTCTGTTGCTGCCCACAGACTTTTATTTATAATCTGTACTGTTTTACAAAACAGTGTCACTGACGCCTACGCGGGGACCAAAACAGGAGAACGATCCCCTGGCTTCAGCGTTGGCTGTAGGGATCCTTCCGAATTTCCTTTAGAGCTCGGTGGGAGCTCCTGGTCTTTTTCCTCCCGTGAACTGTAGTTTTATGCTCCAAGGGGCTGTCTTTCTGCCTTCTTTCTTTTTTTCTTCTCTTGCATTTTATAATTATGATCTCATTTCATCTTAATAACAACCCACTGAAGCAGGCGCTCTATTCTCCCCATTTTATAGAGCTGCATTATCCAACAGAAGTATAAGGCAAGCTACACATGTAATTTTACAGTTTCTGGTAGCTACATTAACAAAGTACAGCTTGGGTGAAACTAACTGTACTAATATATTTCCTTTAACCCAATATATTTAAAATATTATCATTGGGGCGCCTGGGTGGCTCAGTGGGTTGGGCGTCTGCCTTCGGCTCGGGTCATGATCCTGGGGTCCTGGGATGGAGCCCCGCATCGGGCTCGCTGCTCCGCTGGAAGCCTGCTTCTCCCTCTGCCTGCCACTCCCCCTACTTGTGCTCTCTTTCTCTCTCTGACAAATAAATAAAATCTTTAAAATAAAAAAAACCCCACATCTTAACTTG